GTGGATGAGATTGTGTGGAACAACACGCCAAGGAAACTCAATTGCGGGGTCTACAAATGTGCCCAGAGGAAGGTGGTGCCCCAGTTGAGCCAGAACCACGTCCCTTCAGAAGATCTACCCGTTAGGATGGCACGGCAATTTCTTTCCTGAATTGGCAAGCTTTGCCCAAAATGTGCTAATTCAACATGCAGTTCTCACAAGACGAACATTTTAATGTGGATTGCAATATCTTAAGAAACCCACAATGTCTCAAAGAAAGTAGACATTGCGAAAGCTCCGAAGATAAAAGCGGTGCAAGAGGTGGGCATTACTGTGAAACAGGGCACCTCCATTGTGTCCTGGGAGACACATTCCCTGAAGTCCAGTTCCCGTGTCTTTGCGCAGGTCAGAGACTCCACCTTAATAGTTCCTGGAAAACATCCTTCTGTTCTCATGGAGACTTCCTTGGCTGCATTTAAATGAAAGCTTTTTGGTGCAGTAAGAACGTTTGATTCTAAAGATAGATGAAGCTGTGATAGGTAATGTCAAATGTTCAAAACACCCCTGCCAAAATCTAGAGATGCCTGCTTTTCAGCACGCCTGTCATTTCCAAACATGCCACGCCCATGCGAAGCGAGCTTATGCATTTACAACGAGAACCTAGCGAATGTGGGACGTGGAGATGGCTCTGTGGGCCAGAGGGCCTGCCGTGCAAGCATGAGGACTCGAGTTCGAGGCTCCGGAATCCACTTGAAAAGCCAGGCACGCTCACACATGCCTGTAACACCAGCGCCATCAGCCAGGGTGGGCAGAGATAGGAAGATCACTCGGTTTGCTGGCTGCCAGCCTAGCTCCAAAGTCAGTGAGAAACCCTGTCTCGGGGTGATAAAAGTCGGGGTGATAAAATGAAGTGTGTTGAGCAGGGCTCCAGACAGCCTCCTCTGGTCTCCATGTGAGGGTGCATGAACCTGTATCTCTCTCTCTCTCTCTCTCTCTCTCTCTCTCTCTCTCTCTCTCACACACACACACACACACATCTAAAGGGAGAAGAGCTGAGTGTATGTTAAGAACAAGTGAAGGAAAGGCTGAACTGACTCCTTAAAATGAATCTCCCGCCCTCCCTCCCTGCTGATGGCTTCGGTCATATCTGTGTGCCATCTCTATAGCTGGTTCCTGACTACTGATGGACCAGTTATCTTAATTTTTTACTTTGCCTCATCAAAAGCAATATTATCGTTATTGTCCAAATATTCCCCACGTATGTTGTCGTGAAGAGCTAACTAATAAACTGTGACCTGACCTCCACAAACTGACAGACCTTCTCGTCTGCACTCGTGTCTTCAGGGTGAGGTTCCAGGACCCCCGGGTATAGAAATAACAGATGGGGGACTGGGAAAGATGACTCAGTGGTTCAGAGGACCAAGGCTCCATTCCCAGCACCCCCATGGCAGCTCACAATCATCTGTAACTCAAGTTTCAGGGGATTCAAACCCTCTTCTAATCTCTGAGGGCCCCAGGCATGCATGCAGTGTGCTAACATACATGTAGATAAAATAATCATTAACATGGAATAAAAATAACTCTTAAAAACATCTGCAGGTAGCTAATAAAATGGTATTTACATATAATCATATGCTTTAAATCATTCTCAGATTACATATAATACCCAATGCAATGTCAATGTTGTGTAAGTAGTTGTTATAGCATTTAGGGAATGACAAGAAAGAAACCTTTACTTATTAAATACAGATGTAACTTTATTCCCAATTGATTGAATTTACAGATCAGAAGGCTGAATATTCCCATCTGTGGCCAGTGGAGTGGGACCGTGGTCCGTGGCTCAGGCCCTACCACAGTCTATCCCCACAGGTGGATGGAGGCAGCCTTACCCCCAAACACGTGGCTACCACATCATAAACCAAAGGAAAGGGTTCATGTAGACGTAGCCAGTATTTAATGCTGCAGGTAAGTTTCCATGCTCTGTTTGGCCCGTTACCTCCTGCAATATTCTCTGTGCCTTATACTAACCCCAAGATGAAGCTCTTCTTCTGAATCCCCAGAGAAAATGCCACTGCCTGGAGGTGTGGGGGCCTGCAACGCTGCGTGTCTCAGCACGCGTTTGGTAACTCATGTCAGGCATTCGGTTTCTTGAGTTTCTGGGCTAGCCTTGTGCATCCTGTTTCTTACGTTTCTGGGTTAGCCTTGAGACTGGAATTTTTTCACAAGCCACATTTGAGCCTTGAGCCCTAGGCTGCCACCTTGCATTAGGGTTTTGTTGTCTATCTCTCTGTTCTCTGAGATTGGGAAAACAGCCGACTGCTGTCTGTTTGGATTCCCCCTTTTGTCAAACGTTTCTTAAGGCTTTTACTCTCTTTAAAATGGAGTTCCTTGCCTTTAATTTCTGTGCAAGAATTCTTCAAATATTCTGGAGATAGTTTTCCCTTCCTATCCAGTGCAGACTCCGGGATCCCACAACCTCCTGCAAATGCCCCGCTCCACAAATACCCTAGTGCCTATGGGAAATGGCTTATTTGCATACAATCTGCACACATCTTCCCACATCCTTGAAATCATCTCAAGATTATTTATACCACCAAACACAGATAGAAGCTACACGGCGGTTGCCACATCGTGGTCTCGAAGGCCGGCACGAGACATCTATATCTGTGCAGTACAGACACCATTTTTATAAAAAAAAAAAAAATGTTTGATCTACATTTGGTTACAGCACCAGATGCAGACCCCATGAACATTACTTTCTGCTTTTTATTTTTGTCCGGTTGGGGGCTTTTCGGGGTTATCATCACCATTAGTTGAGTAATTATAGACACCCCCTTCCCCCGTGATTAGAAGCTTCACTTTCTTAGTGTCTTACGTGCATAAAGGCTCACCACCATAGCACAGCCCTTAGGGCGTGTGGACAGCTTGCAGTGAGCTTACAGAAGCCATTTTCTTATCTAATCACTTCTCAGGCGTTCGGCCAAGATAAATTAAGAAGTTATCCAGACATCTTCCTGTATGGCGTTCAGTAAGTCAGTTCTCGCCACCCAACAGCTCCACCCAAAAATCAGTGACTGAAAACAAAACCTCTTCTCACTCATGAGCTCCGGCCAACATCTGCTGGTTAGTTCACCTAAGCCTGGCTAGGTTCTGGGGGTGGGGGTGTCTGTGTTTGGCTGGGGGAGTCACCCGGAAGCTGTGCTTCCAGTGTGTCTCAAGCCTCCAGACTTTCAATCTAGAGCTTATACCGTGGGGTCTCCCGGTGCTCAGGCCACTGGACCTAAAGGAGATCTATGTATCATGCTCTCCCAGCTCGGCACGTCGGCCAAGATCTTGAATCTTTCATAACCACGTGATCTGGTTCTCTACAGTGGATTTCCTGCATAAAGACACAATGCCTTGCACACACAGGCATTTTTAGACACTGATAATCTTAGTCTTGGCCTTTGAGGCTAAAATTGAAACTTATACACAAGAAGAAAATCATCCTAAAATTATTCTGTATTCTTAGTCCACATTGCTTTTTGATTTATTTAATGAAGAGAGGACGCGTGGAGATCAAAGGACCACTCGTGGGAGTCATTACTCCCTTCCCACCGTGTGGGTCCTGGGGACCAAACTGGGGTCATCAGGTTTGGCAGCAAGTGCCTTTGCTCACAGAGCCATCTCGCTGGCCCATATTCTGACATTTTTAATGGTGTTTTTTTTTAATCCATATGATTCCAATGGGAATCACCTACAAGGCAGAATAAATATTTAGATTTAGTACTCAGATCTGAGTGCATTCTGTTCCTCCCCTCTCTGCCCTTGCAAAAGTGAAAGTAAAGTAGGCCTGTTGTTCCCTCACGGTCTGTCTGTCTGTCTGTCCGAGCCCTCCAGATCATTCTGCTTCTGTGTCTCCTTCTCCGGAGTCTTTGCCCCGCCTCTTGGCCTACCTGTCCCCACACACATATAAACAATCCTTTCTCTCAGCAACAAATACCAGAAGCTTTTAAAAAAAAAATGGCAAAAGGAAGCCTGAATGCCTCTGGAAAAAGATTGCAAAGAAGAGCCCAGCAACCGGTGACCATGGTGACGCCGTGTAATCAGCAAACCCAGGCCCTTGCTTTCCTTCCTCCTCTGGGCATCCATAAAATGGTTGGTTTAGAAACCCCAAGCCCACAGACTGTTTTCCAGCAACATAGCAACCGCCGGCAAACTGGGAAGTCAAAACTACCCGTGACCTGATTATCAAAACCAGAGTTATGACAGCAGGCTACCCGGCTGCCTTTCTTAGCAGGAGGGTACACTGGCCACCTGAGGTATCTCTTCTGTTAAATCCAAAATGTTGTGTGAAATACACCAGCACTTCACACACACACATATACATACACACACACATACACACACCTCACACACATATATACATACACACACACACACACACCTCACACACACATATACATACACACTCACTTCACACACACCATACACACACACACACACACACACACACACACTGTGGAGCCACCACAAAAGGAAGAGAATCTACAAAGGCCAAAACGAAGTGAAAGTAGGCACCTTGGGAAGCAGTCTGGCGCCAAAGCTGCCCTCTGCCCTCTGCCCTGAGTTTCCGTTGACAGTTTCCACAGCTTGGGGTTTGTGAGGTTAAGCCTGAAACCCAACTAAAATAGTCTGCTAGGATGCCCCACCCAAACCTGCCCCATCCCAGGAGCTACATTCTCAAGGTAAGAAACAAACCCACTGTGCAAAGCAGGGCGAGGAAACACCTGTGTTTGGGTTTGATCGTGGGCGTGAGGGGATCTTCCCTGAGAACTCAACCACAAGCCAACCCTCCAGGGACTCTGCTGTCTGGGTGAAGGTGATGTCACTGCCTTGACATGATCTGCAGAAAGACAAGAAAATTCTCTTGGGGGAAACACAACTCTAGCTGCAAACCCAAGACTGTCCCACAACTTAGTAGAAAAATGAGCAACTTTACCTTGTTTTTAAATTATTTTTTAAAAATCACACAATAGGGACAGTACAGGTGCCAAGCCTGGTGATCTAACACCAGGGCCCACATGATGGAAAAAGAGAACCCACTCTTGCAAGCTGGCCTCTGCCCACATAGGCATAGTGCTGTGTCTTCACAGGTACAAACACACTAAACAAACAGACAAACAGCTGTACCAAAAAAATAAATAAATAAATCACACAATATATAGGCCACAAGGCATTAAAACAATAGGCAGAAAATTCCACAGGTCACAAAAGCAGATCACCAGGGGCTCAGGGGTTACACTTGGGGAAGTGAGGCAACACCACCAGTCTGCTTTGCCTCTTTCCTCCGGTTTCTATGTATGAACCAGCGGTGTCCATGCTCCTGTCTTGATGCTCACTGGCCATATTCCTGGTTCTCTTCTTTTTCCCAAGGTCTATAAGCACATCTTTCCTCTGCACCTCAAGAAGGAAATCAGTCAATTAATCAATCAATCAATAGAGTCCCACCACCTTGCTCCACCACTCCCACAGCTAAACTTCTTGAAAGTACAATCACTGTGATTTCCTGCAGTCCATTGTGCCCCACCCAGCCCTTCTAAAAAGGCCTTGCCCGGGCTGTAGAGGCCGCAAGTGCCCTGAGGCACCAGGTCACCAAACCCAATGAACCCTTACTTACCAGTTATTGCAGAGGCATTGTACAATGTGAGCTTCCTCCTTCCAGAAAGTCTCCTGACTCAGTCTCAGGGGCCCTGCTTTCTTCTGAGTTTTCTCTTACGTCTTTGGTCACTTCTTCCCAGGCTCCTCAAGTATTCACTGTGGTTTGTATAGATATCCCCGTCTTGGTTTCTTTTCCTGTAACTGGGATAAAACACCCCGGCGAACACAACTGAACGGAGAAAGGATTTGTTTTGGCTCAGAGTTCGAGGGTACAGAACAACATGACTCATAAGGAATGGAAGCAAGAGCTTGAGGTGGCTTCTCAGGTCACACCCATAGCCAGGAAAGAGCAGTGCAAGGGACTCAGATCACTTTCTCCAGTTTGTACCGTCCAGGACTCATGCACAGGAAATGGTCCTGCCCCCTGTTAAGTGGGTTTTCTTCCAACAATTAACCTGGGTAAGATAAGCCCTTGATGGCCCGCCCGGAGCCCAGGACACCCCTCCCAGCATCTGTCTCCCTGGTGACTCCGGGTTGTGTCAAGTTGATGTGACAACAATCATCGCATCTCCCCAAGATTCACTTGGAAAATCTTGTTCCCACGCTTGATGCTATTGAGGGGGGGAGTTTACTGAGGGGTCTTCAGATCTTTCTAGAAAGGGATAATGGCACCCCCACTCTCTTCCTTTCTCCCTTCCTGTCTTGTCCTTGGTTGAAGCTGGAGATTTTGCACTGTCCTGGGCTTTCACTAAGGCATGCTTCACTGCGGACCCAAAGCCGTGGGACCAATTGTTCAAGGCATATCAACACTGTAAGATAAAGAGTTCTCTCTCTTAGCTGGTGACCTTAGCCATCTGGTGTAACGGTGGAAGGCTGACTGGTGTGCCTCCTCTGCCCACTCAGGGTGCTGTTCTTATGTCACTTGGCACCATCTCCACAGGCACAGCCTCCATTCTCCTGGACAAAACGACCATCTGTCTAGGGGAATGTATATCTGCGGGCTAAGGAAACCTTTCCCAAGGGAACTGCAGCATTAATGGCTTAGAGAGAGCTGACTCAGTCTAGATCCCCCCGCCCCCCAGTTCCCAGCCGTATTCCTCCCCACAGGTGGTTGACTCTGTGCCTATGAGGAAGTCGTCTTCCTTAAGGAGCTGTTGCTTGCCCATCCTGAACCTGACTGCGGTACACTTCCCAAGGGTATAAAACTCCCTGGACCACCAACTCGCACAATGCGGTCGATGTTAAGAGAGAAATAACTACAACATGAATAATAAATATTCCTGGAAAAGGGTGACAACCCCAAGCTTTCAATAAGATTGAAGAATGACTGAACGATTGGATTGATCATTAAAAATAGTTTCTGTTGCCCAAGGTGGTACACACCTTTTATCCCAATGCTTGGGACAAAGAGGCGAGTATATGTGAACTCAAGACCAGTTTGAGCTACGTAGTGAGTACCAGGCCAGTAAGGACCATGTAGGGAAACTCTGTCTCAAACAATAAAAGGAGGAGGAGGGAGAGGAGAATAACAACAACAAAATATAATAAGAGTTTTAAATAATAGACAAATCTGTGGTGAGGCATTTGATTTGGAAGGAGCGTAAGGAATCCCAGAGTGCTGCACACCTATAATTCTAGTACTCCGAGACAGCAGGTCACAAGTTCAAGGCCGACCTGGGCCACATAACAAGACTTTGTTCAAACAACGGCAACAAACCACTATGAAAATACTAAGAGAATTTATGCTGAATGCTCTGCTCTGTGACTAGCAACAAATAACGTCTATTCATAAATACATGAACTAATAGAAGAAAACCCTAACCTACCAATTCCATCAAGGGAAGAATTTTCATAATTCCAATAACTGGCAAATGGGATTAAATGTAGCTCAAAAGCTTCTACACAGAAGAAAAAAGAAGGTCACCACAGTGAAGAGAGAACCTGCAGAGTAGGAAAAATGTTTACCTCTGTTCACCGGGCCAGGCATTTGTAGCTAGAGTACTAGACTACCCAAAGAACGGCAAAAATTAAACAAAAAATCCAAGCCATTTAGTTAGTGAGCCAATGACCTGAATAGATAGCAAAAACCAAGAACTTGAAATGGCCAATAAATAATACAATAAGTAATGGGAAAGGTGATCAATATCCTTAGCCAACAGGGAAATATAAATTAAGCCTGTTTTAAGATTCTCTCTCAACCCTAATCAGAATGACTATCACCAAGGAAACATACACCAACAAGTAAAAAGGTGTGTTGGGGACTGCTTTTGGGGTTGTTGGGAATGTGAACTGGGCAGGTCAACATACCACAGAGACGTTTGGAGGTTTATGTTTATTACTGAACTGTCCCCCAACAGCCAAGAAAAGGAAGCAGCCTAGATGTTTATCATCATATGAATGGATAAAGAAAATGTACTTCATCTGCATGCGAATCATTTGAACTTTTACAGCCACGGAGAAAAATGACATCATGACATTTTCAGAAAAATAGATGCACCTGAAAAACACCGTGTTAATCAAAACAAACTAGATTCAGAAAGACAAATCTCTGGTTTCCCTCATATGGAGCCTAGATTTAAGAGTATATGTATGCATATATACAGGTATATATTTGTGTATGTGTGGGGGGAGGTCATGAAACTAGCAAAGGACTCATAAGATGAGAAGAAAGAATCTAGGGGAAGTGGGAAATGGGTAATGGAATACATTAATAAGAAAGTAGAAAGAGACTCAGTAGAAGAAGAACGGGAACCGTCTGGAAAGGAAGGGACACAGAGAGGGGACAGTGGAGGAGGGAAAGGATGACAACCAATATTGTGACACAGAGTGTATGAAGACACTGTGTTGAAGCCCACTGCTAAATCAACAAAGATAAAAACGTGTCATCTCAAGAGAGAGCAATTGCCAGTACTGCCTTACCTTGATGTTTAATGTCTGCTCATTTAAAGCCATATGCTATTTTAGTCAACTGCACTCTAAAAAGAATTTGAAGGATAACTCAAACGCTAAGAAGCTAATTAACACTCCAAGTCTTACAGGTCTCAAGAGAAAAGTTAATTCATTTTGACCATCATATAACCGTCTTTGTCCAGACACGTATAAAAAGACACTCAAGAAAAATCTTTGAAGCATTAAAATGCATTATTTTAGACTTACCTGAAAATATGTGTTCAAGAAGAAAGGGGAACGCTGTAAGATTCCACCCTGTTCAAGAAGAGCTTGTTCGTGTGTTTTCAATAGGAGGACAGTGGGGGGCAGGTCACACTGGCATGCGGTTTCTAGCGCAGGTATTGAAATAAGCATCGTGACAATGTCCTTTAGAATGGTTAATGGTTAAGGTACACCAGACATGGCATCCTTTAAAAATATCCAAACTTACAGGAAATAAGTTTAGGTGTCAATTTAAAAGTGTGAGACAAAGTACTACACAATGCCAGTTATGTGCAAATCTAGAACAGACAGAGAAAGCAAACCATAGCAAGGCTGCCTCCCAAAGATGTGGGCACAGGTGTCCTCGGAAGAAGCACACGGAACTCCCTTGTCAGTGGCAATGCTCGGTGCCCTGAAAGGGTTTGGATATTTGCTGAGCGCTACCAAATTGTATACCTAAAGTCTAAACACTTTTTGGAGGTTAATTTTATTAGGGGAAAAAAAACCAAAACATAAGCAAATGTTTGGACACTAATGTCATCTATGCTAGAGTTTGGGGGGAAACGCTTGGAATGCAGAACGAGTGAGGGGTTACCAAGGAGACAGCTGTACAGATAAGATAGTAATGGAACCAAAGCACGATATTTGCTAAGGAATCTAGGCAGTGATGATATGGTGTTTGCTGCCCAATACTTTGACTTTGCTGTACATCTGAAAATACTCATAATAAAATATTGCAGGGAACGGGCAAAAGGAAATATTTTTCATAATTATTTTTAGCACGTCTGAGAAAAGTTAAAACTGGTGGTTGGTGAACTGTCACCTTAGCTGTCCGGCACAAACCTCCCTCCAGTATCCCAATTGTAGTTCCCACCAGATCCAAAAGTCCGCAGATTCAAAACTGCATTTATTGTCTTCCCTCTATCGGGTGGGACCACCTCAGCTCCCAGTAACAGACAAAGAGTTCAACACAAGCAGGGATTTTTCTTACCTAGCAAGAAAGATGGAAGTGGGGATGTTGTGTTGCTGATCCCACAGTCTGATAGGGTCCCAGTAGGCAAGTCTGCGGTTCTCTTGACCATCCTTCATAGTCCCAGTATGTTAGAGCACCACGGTCAGGCACCCTGTCTGGGTTCAAGAGAAGACAGAGATGATGACTCTGGTGATGAGTTTAAAGGCTAATGTCCTTGTGTTGACACTTAAAGCAATCCTTTACTGGGATATAATAATGCATCTTGAAATGTGTCACTAGCTAGGATGCTCTCAACCGCAAAGACACGTTGTCCACACACAGTACTAAAATCCAGAGTAGAGCTGGAGAAATGGCTAGAGGTTAAAAGTGCTTGCTGCATGCATATCCACAGGTCCTGAATTCTGTTCCTGGCACCCATGTCAGGTGACTCACGACCACCTGTAACTCCAGTTTTAGGGGCTATGACACTCTCTTCTGGCCTCTGAGGATACCTGCACATACATATATACATACACATACACACAGAGTGAGGGGGAGGGAAGGAGGGAGATTTAAAAAATGTAAAAGTAGGCTTAAAAGTGACTTTAGAATTGGCTGACTGGATGATAGAGAAATGTCATCTACAATCTAGATTTTTTTTTTTCAGCGTTCTGCTTTGTTGTCTTTAGTGTTGGCTCTGTCCCCAGCCCGGCAACAAGAAGGACATAGCAACTTCAAGTAAAAGATCCACATGCAGGAACCATGAGAAGAGAGACCAACTGGTTCTCAGGAGCTACCACTCCCCTCCCTCCCGTTAGCAACAATGCCTGCCAGTTTATTTTCCGAGCTACAAGGTAAATGGGTTTGCCTTAGGGAGATGAGAGCTGGCTCCCTTATCTGAAGCTAGTCCTGCCAAGCAGGCTAAGACCTAGCTTTGTTATTTTTATATTTATTTATTATGGATATTCTGTTTGCATATATGTCTGCAGACTAGAAGAGGACACCAGACCTCATTACAGATGGTTGTGAGCCATCATGTGGTTGCTAGGACTCGAACTCCAGTCCTTTGGAAGAGCACGCAATGCTCTTAACCGCTGAGCCATCTCTCCAGCCCAAGACCTAACTTTGTGAAGGGAATTGCTAGGATTAATCTCACTCAAAAGTTTGATGAGCCCTAGAATCACCCTGGAGACATGTCTCTAGACAAACATAAGAGGGAGCAGCTTGATTGGATGAGAAGGGTGCCCACTGTGGGTAGCACCATTCCCTGGCTTGAGAGCCTGGGGTAAGCCGAAGCACACACAACTCTCCGTTTCTTGACTGTGAATACGGTGTAGACAACGTGCCTCAAATTCCTGCCACCGTGACTTCCACCGTGATGGGCCGCATCCCTGGACTATGACCTAACATGAGCTCTTTCTCTTCTTCCTTTGCTTTTGTCGGGCTATTCTGTCACAACAACAGGAAAAGTCGCTAAGATACGGGTTGAGTGTATACTGCAGATCTAAGAGTGTTACAGGGGGCACGTGATGAAACGTTTCTAACAAACGCACGAGGCTCACAGCATGGAAGAACAGTAGATTTATTATATAGCATAATAGAAGTTCTGTTCCCAGAAATGACAGAATATATAATCTCTAAATATTACAGACATAAAAATCAACAATATGATACAACACGACAGTATACCATCACTGCCCCCTGTTGATTTACTGGATGCCTACTGGGTATCGGGGACTACTCATTAATCTCGTTCCTCTTTCAGAGCAAAACAGAGGTGACAGATAGAGACTGTGTGACTGAAAATGAGGCTTCCCCTCTGCGTACTAATGGCTTCTACCTTTGTCTCCAGTTCACTGTGACTACCAGAATCAGCACTTTCATTTTTCTTCTCATTTTCATAAACAAAATTCACTAGCTATTCAAAGATGGAGCTTTGATATAGGCTGAGGGGGTAACAAGGTGGAGACTGACTTGGTCGTGAGGTCCTGGCTACCTCTTACATCATACTCCTCGCCCCTCACTGATCTGGGCGCTTTACATATATATTCGCTCCTTGAGCTTCACAACTCTTTTAAAGCAGGAACTGCAATCTCCGTATTGAGATGGGAAAGAGAGGCACAAGGAACACGGGACAGCGTAGCACATTAGTCGACCACTGCGGTTTGCTCTGGTGCCCTCCCGCTTCCCCTTACTTTGGTTATCTCTCTGACTCCTGCTCCTAAGCTAGGCTGTGCTTCCTCCTTCTGTCTCCCACCTACCCCTCCTTCCCCCACCTCCTTCTCTCTCTGCTGGGACTCTTTTTACAGAGTCAGGCCCACTACTCTTCCTAGGAAAGCCTTCCTTAGTCAAGGCAGACACCAGTCTCTCACCCAGCACCTAAGGCACCCACCATGCTCAGATAATTTGCTGACAGATCGTGCCTGGCTTCTTCTGTTGTCCCTGGGGCTTGCTACTATGCCTGGCCTATAATTGGCACTTCGAGTGTTGCTAAATTAATGCACCAGCTCCCTGATTCTACACTTTCCTGTCTCCCCCGTGCCGTCTGACACCACATATTGTAGACACACGACACTTAGTCAACTGGAGCGGGTGCCGCCTTCTCACCCGTAACCTAACTTAATAAAAACAAAGCAAAACAGAACCCGCCCCACCCCCATCTACACATCTCAATCTAGACCCCGAGAATTTGGAGTGCTATCAAGGTCTGCCAAACCCGGTAGTCTGACTCCCCCTTGCTGGCCTGGCCGGCTGGGCTGGGCCGAGTGAGGAGCAGTGTCAGGACTCAGGGCCGCCGCCTGGTGCGCCTTCTCCCAGTTCTTGCCTATTAAGGTAAGAGTCCTCTAGGAACGCAGCGACGGGAAGGAGGGTACCCAGCAGCGGCCTCCGCGCTTGGAGGACTCTGATTAACCGCAGCCTGGCGCCTCGCCTACTTAGCTTTACCACCTGAAGTCACCTTCTTATGTTTTCATAGCCACCGAGAATAACTTCAACCATGACCGCGGGCCTCAAAGGTGTCTGGGCACCCGGCGCTGACTAAATGGACCCCGCTTCACGGGTGGGAGCTGCTCTAGCACAGATGCTCGGATAGCTACAGGAGTCCGCGCCCTTCGGCTCGGAGAAAGGTGGTGCCACCTCCGGGAGGCCGGAGCGGGCGCGCGGGACCCGGATCTCCACCCTAGGACTCCCCATCCCAGGCCAACTGGCCGCTCGCGTCCCGGGTCCCGCCCGCAAGCCACGCCCACAGGTCACGCCCCTTCCAACCCGCCCCGCCCCTCCCGCCGGCGCCCGCCGCTCCCGGGGCTCGGCGCGGGCCTGGGGAATCGGGAGCCCGCTGCCGGGGTCGCAGTATGGGGCGCTTTCGCGGGGGTCTGCGGTGCATCAAGTATCTGCTGCTCGGCTTCAACCTGCTGTTCTGGGTGAGACCCGAACCGGCGGGCCAGCTAGGGGGCCGGGGTCCCCAGGGAGGTGACCGCAATAGAGTTGGGCCCTGGGGGAAGGCAGGGTGTTCCAGAGGCGCTAGGGAGACAAAGAGGGAGGGGACGGATGGAGGGGGAAAGGGCAGAGAGAAGCTTGAGCCACCAGAGCCAGTGAGAAGACAAGGTACCATGCTTCCCCGAGAGGAGCCATCATCCTCGGTGGCATCGCCCGGCGGGTGGCGCCAGGTGCGGGGACCCAGCGGGCCCCTTCATCCCGAGGGCTGGGGCCCTGGTGGCAGGCGCTTCCTGAAGCCCGCTAGGCACACACACCCCCTTCGCGCGCTGCCTGCTCTGGGTGGGGGTGGGGGAGCCCGGCTGCCCGGTCAGGGTACCAGGAGGGAAATCCCTACCCTGCGGCTGCCTGGGGTGGCGCCTCATCCCAAGAGTGTGCGGACACACCGCCTGGCTCTGGTGGTTTGTTGGGAAAATACGGACAGTAGCGAAAATTAAGGGAGTGGGGGATGATCGTCCTTTTCTTGGGCATGGGGGGGGGGTACTGCTGGATACAGTGGTGGGTGCTGTTCTATGAGGGGCTGGAGAATGGAGGGGCTTGGGAAGGGCAGCAGCATCCCCCCAGGCTCCCTGCCTACAACCAGTACTCCTGAAATGAGCTCATTCAACTTTGCAGGGTGGCGTAGACCTGGCAACATTCCCCAGTTAGAGATGCAGAGAGACAGAGAAAGGGTCCTGGCTCCAGTCTCCCGTGTTAGCAGGGCATGGTTAGGGGTGGACCATCCCTGGAATACTCTCTCCCAGGCCCTGGAGAACCTTCAGAGGTCCTTTCTGCACAGTCCCTACTGGCCTTCCCTTAATAGAACGCTAGCCAGTGTAGCTGCTCAGATAGACCCTGAGGGGAGCCGCGAGTTTTGTTTTGGGGGAAGTGGGTAACAGCAGGAGCAGCGATGCTTTGAAATTACTGGGCTGGAAGCCATGGTGATCCCCTGTGCTCTGAGGAGGTTGTCTGAACAATAAGTAATTATTGAAAGGTGGGCTCCAACCCATTAGCCTGGGTGACACCAGCAGCTCCAAGCTCTTCAGAGACCACGTGGTCAAGACCAACATGGGTCAGCAATGGACAGTTTGGAGGAGGTACCTGGGGGCTTCGCCTGAATTTTAAAAATACACATAGCTTTTGTACACCTGGACATTTGCATATGTCACACTCCAGGAAGAAGTATTTTCGAGTACTCTTGTGTTGTATTTTTTTTAGAAGTCTGGCTTAATTTCAAAAGCTGTTCATTATAGAGACCATGCCACGCTGACACCCTTCCTTCTCACTGGTACAGATTCGGAGCTCCGTGTGAGCCCGGGAGCGAAATCTCAGGCTAGGTTTAATGCTCATTTGTGCCAGCTTCCCCAGATGTATGGAGCATTTGCAGTGGGTCAGGGACAGTGCTAGGCACCCTACATCTGTCTTTGCACCCCTTTCTCACTACAGTGCTCGTGTGCAAGCGGCTCACCCTCATTTTAAGATGTGAAGACACAGAGACTCAAATAGGTCACACAGCTATTGAATGGCAGACATAACTCTGACGCTGCCTACTCCCTCTTAACCCTGTGGGGGATCCCATTAAAGCTGCAGTCCCCAGAGTATGGCTCCTGGGTCAACAGCATCAGTGCCCCCTTGGAATTTTTCAGAAATGGGCATTCTCACCGCAAGCCAGACTTACTGAATCAGACACTGTGGCGAGGTGGGGGAGCAGGGCCCAGCAAGCTATCCTAAAAGACCACCCAGGTAACCCTACCCCCACAGACATGGTTCAGAACCACTGTAAACAGTTGCTAGATAGATGGTGTCTATTAGCTTAAAGCACTGTTCTCAGGTATGCTACTTGAGCTGACGAGAGTGGTGCATGCTGGCCAAGAATAAAGTGAGGCAGAGCGTGACCAAGTGGCACGTTTCCCACCACTGGCCATAAACACATCAAGGAAGAGGAACAAGAGTCTAGTGAGGTCTGAGAGTCTGTCAGAAGTTAGAGGTGGCTCTTCCTATATGTGATCTAAGTACAGAGTTCAGAGAAGGGACCCCAGTATCAATGAGAAACCTAAAAACTTCTCCTGGGAGACATTGAAGAGCTGGGAGGATGGGGGTGGTCCAAGGCAAGCCACCAGCTGAGGCACAGAACAAAGAATTGTGAGACCTCTGAGTGACAAATTCGTGGGGCCTGAGTGCAGAGATCCAAAACATCCCGTGCTTAGACAGAAGGGGTGTGCCTGAGCAAGCTAGTCCCATTTCCAGGATGAGTTTGCTCATCTGTACAATCGGAGGGACAGAGCTGTGGCAGAAATGTGTGAAGTCCCTGATCCCACCTTCCTATGGCAGTCCTACAGAGTAGGGGCTTAAAGTGATTCCTTATTTTTATTCCTAACTGCCTAGCACACAGGAAGCACCCAATAAGTAGTAACTGTCTTCCTCCTGACGCCTTGCCGTTGGCAAACTCTATGTATGTGTGCCAAGTGCTGGCACGTGACTGCTTTGGTGGGTCACTATACATTACCCTTTTAACTCATACTTGGGTATTCTCCCCACAAAGTTTTCTACTCCCTGAGAACAGAGAACTCTTTTCCCTGTTGTTTTCAGAGCCATTCCCTTCAGCACCCAGAATGGTGCCCAGCACATAGGAGGCGCTAACTCTCTATCGAGTGAATTAATGAAGCTTCAGGTTAGACACCTGGATGTGGACGGCCTTCCTGACTTTTAGACATCAATCGGCTTTATCGGAGAGCTGGCCTCTCTCTCTGCCTGTTTGCTGTGTAGATGTCAAACTTTGCTCTCACAAACTGGGTCCAGGAGAGAGTTAGGAGGGCCCAGCGGCTCCTAGGGAGAGGCCAGGCCGTGAGTGAGCAGCAGGTGCAGGAAGCCTTCTTGGTAAAGTGAAAGGGCCACACTGAAACAGCTAACAACGTGGGGAAGTCGATTGTGCCGGATAAATTATTCACACACCTGACTTCCTGTCACTAAGGGAACCTGATTCCACAGAAGCTCTGCCCTGGCTTCTAAAGTTTCTTTCTTGACTGTGGAGCTTTCCCTGGAAGGAAAACTTCAGCTGTGACTTGAGCATCTCCACCCACCTTTCGAGGGATGGGGTCCCTGCTTCCCTTCCCCCTCTCCGGTGACAATGCTTCCTGTCCTGCTGGAAGCTGACCTCCAGGAGGCAGGCAGGGAAGCAGTAGAATGTGCTTTGTGGTCTGGGATTCACAGATCCCTTTGGAGCCTCATCCAGGCAGCTGACTTGACGTTCCCCTCAGCTGTGTTTCTAGACTACTAAACATTCAGCCAGGCCTTTCAGAACCAGCACAAAGCTCCCTGGTCCAGGGAACTCAGCTGCACTCACACTGAGTGATGGATGCTTTAAAACCCAAAGTTAAAGCCCTGGCCCAACTACATTAACTTCTGATCTGACCGTTGGTGTCTGCCCTGCCTTTATCAGGTCTAACTTTAGGGGCTACAGTCACAGCACTGGGTACAGCCCTGGCAGTGCTGAAATCACCTTTGTTTGTTCTTCCCCTCTGTTGCATAGCAATATAAATAAAACATTACAACCCACCCGGCCACATATGCTGGTTTGAAGAAAAGCCTAGGCACTGTTTATTCCTTGGTTTATTGTTGTCTGCTCAGCGTTTTCCTATCATTGTGCTGCTCTGGGCTGTTCAGGGTTGTGTCCAACAGGAAGTAAGGCTGTTCCTGGCTGAAACTCACATGCCATATATGGCGAGTGGGAAGGTGGCGTCCTTTCTTCCTCACCATGACTGATGCAACTTTGGGTTTTCACTTGGTGATGCCCGCTAGATACTTCTGAAAAGACTGTCTCTTTTGCTGGAGTGGGGGAGGGAGGGTGAAAGTTGTTTGACTCCAACAAGCTTATAGCTCCTGCTCCCTCCCACACATTTCAAACAGCAAGTGTAGAGCAGCCCCTTGTTATACAGGATGGTGGAGGGGGTGGAGAAAGAGAGACTTTAGAGTCTCCCAGAGAGCCTGCTGTCTGTCCATAAAAGTGGGAAGACAGGAGCAGTGGTCAGCATTCCCTACTGTGCACCAGAGGGACTGAGGGAGGTTGGAAGAAGCCGAGAGTGCACAGCATGATCAGTCTGGACAGGCCAGAGCTAGAGTTCTAGCGATGTGGTAGATCTTAGGCAGGTGTGTGCAGTATGGAGATTCAAATCCAGAAAGCCTGAAAAATGTATTCTGGTACCACACGGCCAAAGTTTATTCCTCTATAGGTCTCACTGCCTTGGGGGCTGGGTTCAGTTGTTTGGCCTCTTTGAGCCTTGTAAAATGAGCACAGTAAAGTAATAATCAAGTCACCCTGTGATCTCCGTGCAGACAAGACAAGCTAATAATCCCAGCACTCGGGAGGCAGAGGCAGGTGGATCTCCGAGAGTTCAATGCCAGTTTAGTCTACAGAGTGAGTTTCAGAACAACCAGAGCTACACAGTGAAATGAGACCATGTCTCAGGGGGAAAAAAAAAAAAGAGCAAGTTAATATATGTAAAGTCCTGCGTGGATCTGTTAGCAATGGTGGAATTCATACAGTAGAGCACAGGTAGAACAACAGTGCCTGTGATCCAGGGGGCTCCTCGAGGAAAGAGGAGGAAGTATGCAAGTGCCATATCTGATGTCTTACAGCTTCTGGGAGACACGGAGTCCTCCGCCTATAATCCAGTCACTCAGCAGGCATGTGCGAGATGCCTGCCTGACACCCTGCCCTGTGACCGAGTCAAAGACTAAAACCCAACCCCGTATTATATCTTTCCCTAGCTTCCAGGTTGTCTTTGATGATAGTTCATCCCCAGTCCGATCTTTGCACCTCGGAGGCAGGGACTGTTATAAACCAGCATCCTCTCTTCTACTCCATGGGCACCTGAGAGAGTCATGGGGGTTCTAGATAAAAGTTCCTGTGCACTTACCCCAGAGCGGTACGGCTAGGTGTCTGCCATGC